AAAAATATATATAGTTTTATTTTCACATTGCAATAGAACCAGTCGACAAGAAGCTACTGTTGCAGAATATTAATTACGGTTTGCAGTGCATCAATAGCCGGACTTCTGACAGGTCCTGCAAGAACGTCCAGATCCTGCAGTTGTTGCGTCTGTGCCTGGGTTGGACTGAATTGGTTTGCAGGAACTGTTACAACTTCCTACCAATCCACAGCAGCAATCACACCATCTTGAGCAGGGCTGGGTCCAAAAATCCCATGGCAGTGAGTGATGATGTTTGCCTCTAAAGACATCCTTTGACAAACATCTGATTTGGTGTGTGGTGACCAGCAGTGCGCAATCCATGATTGTTCCACTGTTCCCTGAAAACCTCAAAGTCCCGGTTAATCCGTGGAAGGTACACATAACGCAGTGCGCAGATGTGTAGCTCACTGGTACAGTCAATGACTCCATCACTCTCAAGAAAGGAGAAAACTGGTCTCCCCAAAGTCTCTTGATCCTCTGGTTGTGGACACTTCTACTACGGATGGCACTTCCACTTATAGATCCACGATAAATGTTCAGAAACAAACAAACAAACGGTATTGTTTTCTCCTCCGTGGTCACACCTAAATCGAGATGGGACCCCATACCTAACTGTGGCTTGTACAAACTGGTTAACCCTTTAAACCCGAGGTGTCCCACCTTCACGAAAAAATTCAAAATCACATTACTAAGCATTCCCTGAAAGGAATAACACAAAATAGGTACAGCTTAAAGCAAAATTTTAAAGCTTAGAATCTCAACTTTTTAATGAATGTAATTATTTCGATCAACTCTTAACGAGCGCTAAGCAGTCCCTCTAAACTGAAGTGTACCGCGGGCGGGACGCCCCCCCTCCGCAACAATATTACTAATCATATTTGTCAAACAACTGCCTTGATCAACAAAAAATGGATATCATTTGAAAACTCCTAAGTAACTCCAAAGTAGTGCCGAGTTTTTGTACTCTAATGTGTCACAAATATCATACAGCTTGGATAGTCATGTGTCATATGTCATTTGAAAGGCCTCATCGAGTAGACTAAAACAAGCATAATTGTTTGGGGCTTTGAATAAACTGGAGCGAGTTTTTGTACAAGTCACCCCCAGACCCATATGAAAATAATATATTGATGTCACTGTTTTACTTGTAACTTCATAAAACATGATCAGATCGTGGGAAATTATGCACCATTATTTAGAGCAGATTCTCTGATTAAAAAGAGCCCAAAACCACTATAATCTGTCATTTTTATCTAAATATTTTCCTCGTGAATTTATAACACACATAAAACTGAACAGGCAGCATGTAGTTTAGCCAAAAAAAATCTAAGGTAGCTGTCATGTAGCGTTTTCGTGCATAAATTCATGAAAGATGCATATATCATAGAAAACGACAGGTCACTATTTGCAGAAAATTCTCCCGATTACAAAGTGCCCAAACTCACCATAATCCATCGTTTAGATCTAAAGATATATGTGTTATAGCTCTCATAAAGCTATAACACACAGAAAAGAATTAGGTCATGTAGCTTAGCAAAAAATCAGCGGTTGCAGTCCTGTGGCGTTTTAGCTCGTAACTTCACCAAACATGCACAGATCTCGAAAAACCACACAGCATTATTTTCAGAAAGTTCTCCCGATTACAAAGAGCCCAAACCGTAATTCGTTCATTGGATCTAAATATATTATTTACGATATTATCACACACATAACAATTAAATTGAGAAAAACATAGGTTACGTTTTCACTCATAACTTCATGAAGCATGCATAGATCATGCAAATGTTGTTATTTAGATCTAAAGATATTCTTCATGGAATTATAACACAAATGCGCACATACTGCAATATTCTCATGTGTTTTTACGCTTATCATTTCAGGAAACATGCACCGATTGTGGGGAATGGCCTATCATTATTTACAGCAGATTCTCACGATTGAAATGAGTCCAAAATCAAAACAATCCATTGCGTCTTCGTGTGTAAATAACACCTAAACCCATGAATTGAAGAAATCAGTTGGAGAGCTCTGTTGAACACTTGGCAAGCAGAATGTAAAACCTGTAATGTTTCTGTCTATTGTATCTTTTATATAACCTTTTTTAAAAATAATTAGGTATAATTTTAAAGCTTAGAAATTCAGCTTTCGAATGCATCCAACCATTTTGATCAGCTCCTAACCAGTGCTGCCCAGTTCCTCTAAACCAGCGTGTTACCACCGGCGGGCGCCCCCAGCGAAGACAAAAATAACAAGCATACTTTTCAAAATATCTGCCTTAATCAACACAAAACAGGTCTCATTTGAAAGCTTGGAGTCTGACCTTTACAATGCATGTTAACTTTGATGAACTGCGAGGTAGTGCTGAGCTATGTGCGGATAAATAGAAAAATGTTTGTGTTCTATGTAGTCTAATATGTCAGAAACATCATACAGCTCAGATAGGCATGTGTCATTTGAAGGGTCTCATCGAGTGGAATAAAACAAGTATAATTATATAATATTTGAGGCTTTGACTAAACTTGAGTGAGGCATTACTTCAAATTCAAAACAACAACTTCAAAACTGTAAAGGGCTAAGTGTGCGTTCACACCGCCGCCGTCGAGAGCGCCAAAGTGGCCGGAAGTCCTTACATTTTTGTGTGGACTAACCCTTTAAGTTTGATCGCTGTTAAAGCTAGAATGTCCACTAATGTGTGTATTTACAAAAAGGCATGAGTGGAGAAAACTTTTTTTTCATAAAACTGCAATTTAAATACATTAATTTATTTCTATAGGCTATACAAAAAAGAAAAGAGAAAATAATGAGGCTGAATAGCGGATCTATTGCATGTTAAACGGTGGTTGTCTAGTCTATGAATGGTACACCCCCCTAAGCTCACAGAAGTGGTTTGACCCAAGCCCTCAGCAGCCAATGACACTGACCCCTCAAACTGATCTGAACGCCTATTTAACACCCTGAATACAGTATTGCACGCGCTGGTTTTTCACGTTAAATACGTGCTGTTTACGCCTGAACATGCAGGTGTTTTTGGCCCCTTTGGCCTTCCACACTCTCCACACAGCGTCACGCACGCGCCGGGAGTTTCCGGGAGTGACGCGTCGAAACCTGCGCATACGCGTCTGTCTCGGAGCGCCAATCAAAAGCCAGCTCAGTTTCATCCGTTTGTAGACATTATAACCAAACATTTGTGTGATTACATGATGAGCAGTAGTTAACGGTGTTTAGACAAGCGCTCTATAAAACAGACAAAAGACCTGCAAATGATAATAATAATCGTAAAACATATTATACCGATATTAAATGGTGTTTATTGTAATTGCGTCTACGCATGTTTCGGCCGGAGTTGTTGTTGCACTTGCACAGCTGGACCAGCAGGCGGCGGAGACGCGCTCTCACGCAGCAGCAGCAGCAGCAGAAGAAGAAGAAGCAGACGCAGAGCGCCATTTCGTGTTTGGCGCCCGAACAGAGAGGACTGGAGCCCCTGCTACACTCCTGAAGCCGCCGCAGAGGACTCGCTGACAGCAGCAGCCATGAGGCGGTCGAGGGCGGACGTGCAGCGCTATGTGTCTGCGGTTCAGAGCGCCTCTCCCTCGCTGAACGCGGTAAGAGCAGCACGACAGGCCTCTAGAGCAACAGCCTCAGCACTCTCGAGAGGACCCAGCGCCGCTGACACACACACTCACACACACACACACACACTCACTCACACACACACACTCACACACACACACACACACACACACACACTCAC